TTTGAACGTGGGATATATATTATTATGAGTGGCCAGATTATTATGACCACCCCATCAGTATTTCGTTGGGCCACCTTTTGCCTTCAATGCTGCTGCGATTCTCCTTGGCATTGACTCCACGAGATGTTGAAAGGTGATGCGAGGAATCTGACACCATTCCTGATGAATAGCACTGTCCAGTTCTGTGAGATTTGATGGTTGTGGAACCAGCTGCCTGATGGCTCTTTCAACTTCGTCCCACAAATGCTCAATTGGATTGAGACCTGGTGATTGTGGGGGCCACCTAAGCAAGGTAAAGTCTCCCTCATGTTCTTGAAACCACTCCTGTACAATACGAGCACCGTGCCATGGCACATTGTCTTGTTGGAAGAAGCCATCTCCATTGGGATATGCCATCAACATGATAGGATGAACTTGATCAGCAATGATACTTAGGTATGTTGTGCTATTCAGACGTTGTTCCACACGAATTAAAGGGCCCAAATCATGCCAAGAAAACATGTCCCAAACCATAACACTGCCCCCACCAGCTTGAAGTGTTGTACTCATGCATGTGGGGTGCGTGCTTTCATGCTGTTTCCACCCAATTCTCACTCTGCCATCTGCATGATGCAGCTGGATACGTGATTCATTGGACCACATGACTTTTTTCCAATGCTCAACTGTCCAATCTTTGTGTTCCTGTGCGAATTGAAGACGTTTTATCTTGGTAACTGCAGACAGCAAAGGTGTTGGAACAGGCCTTCGGCTTCCATATCCCATATGATGCAGTGTACAGCTAATTTGCCTACAAACATCAGGTGGTCATAATAATCTGGTCACTCAGTGTGTGTGTGTGTGTGTGTGTGTGTGTGTATACATATATATATATATATATATATATATATATATATATATATATATATATATATATATATATGAACATTTCATTCTTTAGAATAAATATAATTTAATATATCACCTGTTCCACAAATGTATAGTTGAGATTGCACATTTTTCACTTTCTGGGTCTGGAAATACAATTATTCTTGAAGCAATTCTTTCATCCTCTCCTTTAGCACTTTTTTTAAAGCTATATAATTTATCTTAACAAAGGAAAGCAAACATTTTTTTTTTGTCAATTCTTACCCAAGGATATTTTCCAGAGAGTGGAAGGCAGGTGGAGAGACAGAGAGACAGAGAGAAGATTGAATCCAGGACCCTTCAGTCCATATGCCAATGCTCTATCCACTGAGCCAAACCAACTAGGGCCTTTAGCACTTTTTTTAACCTTGTTATATTTCATATATTTTAATCTCTACTTTGTATCTTGGCATCACACAATTGCACAGACCTCCCTACACCCACCCCACTCTAACAACCATCCAGCTCTGCCTTAGATGGCCCACCAGGACTGATCTTCTCTGGTTGGCATCCTAATCAAAGCACACCAAGATCTTCCCAATATCTCATCCATTCTCCCTGTTTGAATGGAGTCTAGGGATCCAACTGCCACAATTACTCTGAACACTGAATTATCCATAGAAGAGGTTTAGTATGACAAAGAAAGATAAAATATATGTTACATATTCTTACTTGCTTCTTTTTGCAACCAAGCTAATGTTTCTCCTTAGTGGAGAGGGTTGAGGAGAAGGAGAAAAGCAACAACAAAAATATTAAACTGAGAAATATATACATGATATGTTAATTTCTGAAAATTATTTGTATGGGTTGTTTGTATATTAGTAGACAGCTGGTCTTAAGGAAATCCATATTGTATTGTTGAAAGTTAAAGCCAGTATGATACAGAGAGATGTAGATGCTTCTATTACAATAAACACACACATGTGTGTGCGTGTGTGTGTTCTATGAAAGAGTAAAAGGAGTGGAAAGAGACATACTTGGCTGTTTATATTAGTTATATAAGGAGGATGGAATTACATAGGGATATGAAGGGTTGTATTCAAACATACATTACTTTAAGCATGTATTACTTTTAATCTGACAAACATCAAATAGGAAGGAAGTGATGGTTTGGAATCACGTTGGTGTGGAGGTTACAATTTCTGCTTCAAGGAACAATTTGTTGTTATTGACAAGAATCTTTAAAGTATGTTGTATTGATTTCAGTGAAAGAGAGAGGGAGAGAGAAACATCAATGGTGAGAGAGAATCATTGATCAGCTGCCTCTTGCATGCCCCCTACTGGGGATCGAGCCTGCAACCCAAGCGTGTGCCCTGACCAGGAATCAAACCTTGACCTCCTGGTTCATTGGTCAACACTCAACCACTGAGCCACAGCAGTCCAGGGACAAGAATTTTTTGAATCATAGATATTACTGTATAATTTTAAAATTTCAATTCATACTTCAAAATTAATATATATTAAAATTCACAGATAAGCCCCCTTGAAAACACATATAGAAAACATTTGGTTTAAATTAGGCAGACTGGCCCTCGCTGGTTTGCCTCAGTGGATAGAATGTCAGACTGAAGGGTCTCAGGTTCCATTCTGGTGAAGGGCACGTACTTTGGTTCCAGGCTCAATAGTAGACCCTGGTCAGGGCCAGGGCATGTGCGGGAGGCAAGCAATTGGTGGGCCTCTCACATGGCTGTTTCTCTCTGTTTCTCCCCTTTTCTTCCACTTTCTCTAAAATCAACGGAAAAAATATCTTCGGGTGAGGATTAAAAAATAATAATAAATAAATATAGCAGACTGATATACAAAATATACTTACGTGAAAACTTTTGAGCGTAGGATACTCAGTTTCTTCTAAAATAACTCTTTTAAAGGATTTTGTATTATAAATATCTAACTCATAATTTCATTCATACTTCTTAAATTCAAAATTCCCTTGGCCAAAAGTGACAAAAATTCAGCATACTTTGAAACTAATTTTGGCCCTTAAAATACATTCCTTTCTATTATTTTTCTCATGGTAGTTGATAAGATTATATCACCTTGATCTATTCTTTAATATAATTGTTCTTCAGTAGAAAAATAAATAAATAAAAATTCCGTGATATAGATTTATGTACTATTTAAAGAAAGGTTATATCCTGTTACTTTTTACAGGTATATTTTTACCAATGTAAAAATAAATTGCTTATCTTTCATTTTCCTTTTATCAATAGCATCTATATTTATTTCTATAAAATTATCATCAAAATATTTTCCAGTATAGTTGAAATTTTTCTTTCAGTAAAAAATAGTCAAAAGAAAAGTCACTTAATACTCTATTTGTTGATCACCAGAAGAGTGATTATATATATATATATATATATATTTATACACACACACACACTATGGGTAGATAGATGATAATATATAAGTACACACATACATATATATATATAAATAAATAGACAAATAGAGAGAAGATAAATGATCGAAAGATAGCATACATTTGGATTTTTCCCATTCATTTTTTAACTGGTATTTTCAGATAGTGTCCACTGACACTATCTTAATAGGCACATTCAAATACCTACCCTCTATCTAAAGGGAAGACTAGTGTGATCCTCGTGCCAGTGAAGTGGCATTTTCAAAAACCCAAGGATGCCCAATTAACCAAATGAAAACCTGTCCCTGTCTCTAGGCCACACCAGTTTGTGCACATGTGAAAGACTGGCATGTGGAGTCACACTGTCAACTGGGAACTACCAAGAACTATATCCTGAGGATTATGAGAATAAAAACCATAGTATTAATGTATGCATGTAAAATAATATTAGATGTTTTACAAGGTTACCTAAGATGAAAAAAACGTCTTTAAGCACTTTAAAATGAATGACAATTAGGAAAGAAAAATATTAAAATGAAGAATGAGAATAAAAGAGATAAATAAATTTAACAAATAAATAAATGAAAGAATACATAAATAAGAAACTCAAAAGAAAAAAATACTCCATTAATCAACAGTTCTGATTTATTTTAATTTGAATTTCAGAAATATCCAAACAATCAAATTGTCTTAAATTTCTACCTTTTAAAGAATACCTCCTAAGGAAAGAAGATATTCTTATGGACCTCTTTAAACCTCTAAGCTATTTATATTTAAAAAAGCTATTGCTTTTTGAAAGAATTGCTATTGATCATTCAAGTTTTCAAATTCAAAAGAGAGATTGAAACTAAAGCAAATGTGTGCTGAAGAAGCATTGTTCAATACACAGCTTTTAAGCACACTATTCAGAAGCTGGTTTTTAATACTATTTTGTAGCATATACCATGAACCTGGCAGGAAATTCAACTAAACCCTTTTTCATTTGTATTGTGTTATTTCTGGTAAACAAGAATGTGTACACAAATTTTCATATCCATATGCAAATACATAATACCAGAAGTATTCTACCACGTTTACCACTTAGAAATAAATCTTATCTCTCTGAGCACAAGCTAGTCTCCATTTCTGAACTATCTGAAAACTATCCATATCAAAGGAGATGCTCCCAATGTTACATTTCATCATGTATGTCCCTAAGTAAAACAAAGGTAGTGAAATTCTAGTAGTATTCCTAATATATCCCATGAGATTACTAACCTGATTCCAAATCTGTGAACTTGAAGGATCATGTGTTTTAAAGAAAAATAATTGTGCCCTGTAATTTGTATTAATCCATAATTTGAATTTCTCTATCAGTATCTGAAGTAAGTTAAATCACTTTTTTAAAAAAAATGTGCTAGCTTTTACGTTTGAGACAAATGAGTAAAGTAATATGGACACTGGTGAAAAACAAGTCAATTTTTGAAAACAAAAAAGGAAGTCTCTGAAAACTAAGTGCCCATTTTATAATCTAAGAGAAGATAAATCACGAAAAACATCATCTTACACAATAATGTGAAAATAATGAAATTTAATTTTGGCTTCGGTTTAACATTTTTAGTTTCTTATCAAAGTTACCCACATTGCAGGCATCTCATTGTCTATTGACATTCATCGTTTTATTCCATGACAATACTACTAAAATATGTTGTTGCTTCCTTTTTGTTTTTCTAACTGTCATCTTTTATCTCATTTCCAGATGTCATCAAGGATGGGCCGGAAATCGATGCCACATCAAAGTTAACCAATCCACTGCAGATCCCACATACTCTCAGAATAGTAGGTGACATTGTGACTAAACAAATCACCGGGTTTTTGAGTGTCTAATATTTTTGACTGTGTGTGTATCCTTTTCATTGGTTTGAAATTCTAGATATATGGACTCTCCTGGGTATTGGATTTGCTTTCCTGATGACTCATATTATAGTTGCCACCTTGTGTTTTCTTGCAAACAGAAAAGCACCAGTAAGGTAAGTGAAACATTTCATTTGCTATATTTTCCTTTCATTCCATTTTACATGCAGGTAACTTTGGTGTTTTCATACTTCATGACATCTTTCTCTTACTTACTTATTTTTTTTTAGTAAAGTTGACTTTTTAGATTATGTTAGGATCATTTTTGATGACAACAAAAAGGAGAACATGGCATTCTCCACTGATTAAAAAGATAGAAGGGGATAGACATCCAAGTTCATGGTGGTGCCCAGGGAAGACAGCGAACTGCAAAAGAGACACTTCCTTGGCCTGCCCAGGAAGGCTGAACTCTAGCCACCAGCTTTCCAGGCCAAGACCCCCATGTCCTAAGAAATGCACAGGCCAGAGGCCAAGAGCTGCTGCACCTGGAGGAACTTTGCAGGCTGGGCACAGGCATGACACAGAAGACCTCACAGTCTACTGTGCTGGTCAAGATACTAGGAATAGATGAGTGGATAAAAAAAGCTATGGTACATTTACACCATGGAATACTATGTAGCTGTAAAAAGGAAGGATCTCTTACCTTTTGAGACAGCATGGAGGGACCTGGAGAATATTATGCTAAACGAATTAAGCCAATCAGAGGAAAAAAAGTATCATATGTGGAATTTAAAGAACAAAATAAACTGATGAACAAAATAGATCCAAGATATAGAAACATGGAACAGACTATGGAATCTCAGCAGGGAGGTGGAGGTGGGTGGGAAGAGATTAACCAAAGAACTTGTATGAATACATACCTAACCCATGGACAAAGATAACAGTGTGGTGAAGGCCTGGGGCAGGGGTCCAGTGTGGGCTAAAAGGGGTCAATGGGAAAAAGAAGGTCATATACTTATATAATACTTTCAACAATAAAGATAAAGTTTTTAAAATGATGCTAGGAGCTTCCTACCTAATACCCATCTTCCCATCACCTGTATGGGATACAGGTCACCCCAATAAGGAAAGTGACTATCTTTTCCATGAACTGAACAAGATAAAGACTCAGAATAAGATTTAATACAATTTTAAGATATTGAAGAAACACATCATGTCTTGCATGCTGAGTCTGTGGCCAGAGATTTGGATCAGCTGCAACACCGATGTGTCACAGAGCACAGGATAAGTGCATTTTCCTTGGTGTCAAATGGTATATGCCACCTGCTGATGAATTCTTCTCAGGTATCCAGCCTGCAGTCTTGTTAAATACCAGACACCAAACTTGTTATCATCAATTAAAGCAAAATTATTCCAGAACTATGGTGTTCATGAGAAAAAAAAAATCTGACATTTTTAATCCATTACTATCAAGAAGAGCACACTGATCTACTAATTCTGTGGTTATTTATTATGAGTATAAAATGTGCCAGACAATGTAGATACAAACATGAATGAGAAGCAGCCTGGACCTAAGGGAGTTTGTAATCTAGTGGGAATAACATACACAAAGCTACTAATTGAAATACTGGTCCTATGCTAAAATGTATACATGTATTAGTATTCTCCAAAGAAACAAAAACAATAGCTAACTATATTAGTGTTTCTGTCATATAGATCTATGTATATATATTTAAATATCTTATATTACATAATATATAATGTGTAATATTATATATTATGCTATATATTATATTACATAATATATAATATTAATATATTCATTTATTATATATACTAGTAGCCCTGTGCACAAATCTGTGAGCCAGTAGGTCACTGTCACCCTCCTGTAGCTCTCCACCCACTGCCCCGCCCTCCTGTAACTCCCCCCACTCCCCTCCCCGCCTCATAGCTTGCTGCCCTGCCCCCTCCTTTAGCTCTCCGCAGTCCCTTGTACCTCACTGGCCCACCCTCCTGCTGATCCGTGATCTGGTTGTGAAGCTCTTGGTCATTATGCCTCAGGGTGTAATGGCTAATTAGCATATTCTTCTCTTGTTATATCAACGTATTGTATTAAAATATATTATATATTAATGTAATATAGTAAGATATCTTAAGGGTAACATGTAATTATATATAAATAATAAGATATATTTTCATTTAATATATATTAATTATACAAATTCTATTTATTGGGAAATTAATTAAATAATGATTATTTTAATTATATTAGCAATATAATTAATATAGTATATGGAATTAGAGAAAGATTTATTTTAAGGAATTGGCTTATGTACTTGAGGCCGACGAGTCACAAATTCAAGTAAGAGTTGATGGTGCAGGCTTGCGTCCAAAGTCTGCCAGGCATCTATCAGGCTGGAAACACAGGTCGGGGTTTCCTTGTTGTAGCCTTGAGGCAGAATTCCTTCTCATTTGGGAAACTTCAGTTTTTGTTGTTAAAGTCTTTACTAGTATATAGTTGAATGCGGCCCACCCACATTATGAAAAGTGATCTGCTTTACTTAAAGTTGGCTGATTATAAATGCTAATCACACCTAAAAAATACTTTTACAACAACATCTGGACTAGTATTTGAGCAAAGAACTGGATGCCACAGTCTAGCCCAGTTGACACATAAAATTAATCATCATGGACCTAGCCAGTTTGGCTCAGTGGATAGAGCATCGCCTGTGGACTAAAGGGTCCGAGGTTCCATTCAGGTCAAAGGCATACCTCAGTTGCGGGCTCCTCCCCAGCCCAGGCCCTGGTCAGGGCTTGTGCAGGAGGCAACCAATCAAAGTGTTTCTTTCACATCGATGTTCCTCTCTGTCTTTCCCTCTCTCTTCCACTCTAAAAATCAGTGGGAAAAATATCCTCGGGTGAGGATTCAAAAAAATAAATCATCATGTTATGTGAATAAGTTATCACATTAACACAGCCAGCGAGAGTATTTAGGGAGAACCCTAAATTTCAGACCTTTTCCAGATTCATGTTGGACAGATTATGCCACTGGGGCTTTGGAGAGACTCCTCAGGCAGATGTCTGTGGCACTACGCCACAGCCTGACAGCCAGCTCTCCTTTCTCTCATTTCCGTCATTGTTCTTCAACATCACACTTCCCTTCCTCATCACTCCTCACCTTTGCTCTTTGCCAAACTCCAATTCTGTTTTCTCTTTCCCTATTTCTTTGTTCGCCTCCTCTTAATCTTTTCTGTTTCTCTGACACTTTTTAAAAAATGTTTAGTATCTTCTTCTCATCCCTTATTGATGGTCTCCAGGGTTTGCCTCTATATCTGATTCCCTTTCATGTAAGATATCATTAATTTCCAAGGTTTCAAATGCCATCTACACATTAATGGCTCCAAATAATCTCTGTCTTACTAAAGTTCTCTTCCATGCTCCAGATTCATATCATGCTTTCAATTATTTGCTAGACTTCTCCATAGAATTTTTCTAGACACATTGACTTTCACTTATGAAATATTAGTGCCCATCATTTCCAAATTCTGGAACCTACCTTTGAGATTCCCCAAAATAAAGAGTAACTTCATTATTTGAGGTGGGAAGCTTAGATATAGCTGCTTTTATCGTCCTACCTGAACACATCAGAATCTTATCTTACAATAACAACTCTTGCACAAGATACACAAAAAATTGAGTGGAACTGGCTACATGTTACAAATATAAGGCTCCTATTACTACACATTTTAAAGACCTGCCAAGATTACCAGTAATTTAGACCAGACACAACCCACTAAGACTTGCTAATGGGAACAGAACCATCTACACTGTCATCAACCAATCTTTCATTTCTCCAGTCTAGGTAGGGGGAGGACTGGGAAGGAAAGAGAAGAGGTTCTTGCAGTCATTATCTTTGGAACAGGGCAGTGTTTGTAGTGAGAAGTTTTACCTCCTTCCCAGTAAAGAAGGGAGGAAGATACCACCACCAACACTACCCAAAGCAATGTGATGGAAGAGCCCCAAGAGAACCAATAGTTAAGATTTGTGATGCCTAGAAGAGTGAAAATTCTGCAAAATCTGACCCCTGTTCTACAGCAGAGTGCAACGTAGAGAAAAACTCAGGAGTACTTGATACACGTACCCTTTGCAGACGGACATGAAGACAATTTTTGGTTCACTGTTCTGAAAGTGGGTGGTCCTGGGAGCATCCCATACCAGCTGGGCTTAAAAGGACTGTGGTACAATGTACCTGGAAACAATAGGAGAGCGGGGTGGGAGGGCAGGCATTAAACTGTATCCCAATTGTGCACAA